TTTGTCCTAGAGAGACTGAAGCCAGGCTGCTCCTTGGAGGCAAGGATTCTGAAGCTTCATGTGACATACTTTGGACATGTTGTAAGGAGGGACCAGTCCTTGGAGAGGGATGTCATGCTTGGGATGGTGGAGGGATAGCGCAAGAGAGGAAGACCCTTGATGAGATGGATTGATTCAGTGACCTTCAGGTGGTGGGTGTGTTAGAGACAATAAGGTTGGCACAGGATAGAGGAGGTTTCAGGGCTCTGAGTTGCATGTGACTCAATGGCATATAACAACATTTAAAAATTACATTAATGATAATACCCATGTTCTAACTGCATGGGTCTTCCTGCCTCCTCTCTGTGATTCTCGTTTCCACTAATCCTTCTAGCCTAGCCTTTCCTGACTTCTGAGCTTTGCCCCTGGGCAAGTGCTGGCCTCTTGATCTTGTAGGGTTGATTGTTCTGAGGGGTGAGTTCCTCTCAGGTGTTCTTACTTGCCTTCTGGGTGCGTTCCTGTTGTTCGGGTGAACACTGAGCCACAGGATTCCAGGTGTACAGGGTGACTTAGGACTTGTAGTGTCAAGGGTTCCCTCAGTCTATCAGATCTGTTAGCTGGGCTATTTTTATATGTTTGAGTTTTATTCTGTATCCCCCCCCTTTTCTGTCCAGAACCTTCTATTGTGACTCCTTTTAGAGCGGTGGTAGCCTGGCATGCCCTAGTTCAGGGTCCTCTTCCCAATACCTTTTGCAGGGCAGTAGTTTTACAATATTATTTTTCCCCCCAGTTGATCTCTTTGAGTTGTGGTGTTAGAAAAGAGGAGTGAATGTCCTATGTTGTCATGTGCCATCAAGTCAGAACCAAACCATAGCTGCCTCTCTAGCAGGCTTCAGAGACAGCAGATCACATGGGAGGAGATTGTCCATCCTTCTCCTGAAAATATCCCAGGGGGTTGCCAAAAAAAACCCCCAAACAGATATGTTTTGGGGAAAGTGCAGCCAGAGGGCTGTTTGGAGGCAGCAGTGGCAAAACCTCTCATATTTTGGGCATGTGGCTAAGAGAGGCAATTCCTTGGAAAAGGACATCATCCTTGGAAAGGTCAGCGAAAGAGAGGAAGACCCTCAACGAGATGGACTGACACAGTGACTGTAGCAGTGGGCGTAAGCGTGTTGGACGTGATGCGGTTGGCACAGGACAGGGTTTAGATCTGTTGTTTGTTTGTTTTTAATTTTTTTTATTATGTTTTTGTGTGCGTGTACCCTCAAATCAGATCTGACTGGTACAGGAGGAGATTGTCCCTTCTTCCCCGGCAGAGCATCTGGTGGGTTCGAACCGTGCACCTCTGGGATTGTAGTTGCAGTTCCAGATCTGTTGTTTGTAGGGTCGCTATGAGTCATACTTGACTTGAGGGCCCCTAACAGCAATAGCATTTTCACAGTTAAGGATCCTGGTGGTGTGTAGTGTGTACTCTTACAGGCTGTTAGCTGAAAGGTCACCGGTTTGAATCCACCAATTCCTGTGCTGGAGAAAGACGGGCAGTGAGGACTCGCAACCTCAGAAACCCCTCGGGGAGTCAGCGTGAGTCACAATTGACTCAGTGGCAGTGGGTGGGTAGTTTCCCAGTGTTTTAAAATCCATTTTAGAAATGTGAAATTTTTTGCCTCCAGAAAGTGAGGACTGCTGTTTTCTTGGAAAATCGGAACATCTGGCCGCCTGGGGCCCTTAGCCTTGCCCAGCTTTTTATGTCACAGCTGCCAGCCCCCCGGGACTATCTGGGCTTGCCATCCCTGCCCACGTCGGGATGGGGAAGTGTGGTGGTTGTTGGAGGATGTTGTTGCCAAGCAGTTAACGTTGTGGAGTCTGGAGACGTGCTTAGAGTCCCGCTAACGCTGTGCGACCCGCAGCTGCCTGGTCTCCTCTCTGAGCCCGTTTCCTCGCCCGTCGAATGACACCTGGAACAAGGCTCACTTGCATGGAAGCCGGAGGCTCCGTCTTGGTCTTGAAACATTTTTTCTGTTTCCTTTCTTAGCAGGTGGACCATTCAGATAAATGATTCCTGACAGATAGGAATGGAAAGAAAGGATTCCTGTCCCTCGCCCTCCTGAAGCCCACTGACCAGTCCAGCTTCAATGATGATGTCATCAGAGACCAGAGAGGGCAGGGGTCTTCGTGAGCACATGGCAGGCTCACTTATTCCCACTCTGATCCTGATCTGTCCGTGTCAGCTGCCTTACTGAGTGGCATTCTGCTCCAGGTCCCATCCCAAGCCCTTTACCTGCCTTTATGCTGCCCACCGGGACCACCCAACCTAACAAGGAAGGTAGCAGACGTCCCCATTTGGTGGTTGAAGAAACTGCAGTTAAGCCATCTACCACCGCCCTAGAAAGGGGAGGTGGCCCAGCCCGGGTGTCCCTCCTTCGTCCTAAGGGTCTCTGGTTTGCCAGTTGTCCATTGGCAGGTCCTGCCTGCTCCCTGCCATCCCCCCCAGTAACTGTATCTCTGTCTTGGTTTGTACATCTCTTCAATTTCCCTATGACAGTGGACAAGCTGTTTGTCAAAAACACAACCAGTTCCTGCTTCAGGGCCTTTGCCCGTGCTGTTTCTGCTGCCTTGGGTGCGTGCCCTTCCCGTCCTCCTGATTTGAGACCTTCAGGCCCTGCTCTGATGCCCCCTCCTCAGGGAGTCCTGCCCTGGTCACCACGACTCACACACCCTTCCAGTATCCCCCTCTCCAGCCACCCCTGTTTTAAGTCTTTACGAGGCACCATCCAATTCCTTCACTGAGTCACACAGCAGGTATTTACTGGGTGCCCTCTGTGTGTCAGGCCCTGTCCTAGGCCCTGGGGACTCAGCAGTGGACGAAGCAGACAGCAGTCCCTGCTCCCCGAGCGTAGTTCCAGAAGGGAAGGCAAACATTTGAGAAGATAAGGAAACGAGAGAGTATGTTAGGTGGTGACAGATAGGTTTATTTTTGTTGTTTTCTTTCCAAGGAAAGGGACTATGAAATGTCAGGGTGGGGGTTGCTGTTCTCCGAGGTCTGGTCAGGGAAGAAGGCACCCTGGTGGCACAGTGGGTTAGGTGTTGGATGAAGAAGTCGGCTTTCATAAAGATTTTTTAAATTATGATTGAGTGGAGGCTTACAATTCCTGTGCACTCATTCAACGACCCTTTGCTTTATAACATTAATTTTTGTTGATTAGTTTATCACAGTGTCTCATCAGACCCTGTGTGTTCATTGCCTTTCATTCAATCCATGTGGTTATTAATTTTTACTCCTCTCTCCAGCCTTTCCCATCCCGATTAAACTCCCAAGATTGCTTCTGTGTGGAAGCTTTTCCTTAGCTATTTATTACAGTGGTCTTCTGCCACACCTGCGCTTTAGGAAGTGACTTAACGTGGCTCAGCGAATACCTTGTTCTGGAGTCGCCCAGGTTGTGCAGCGTTTCACGGATTCTTGTTGGCTTTTGAAGTGATGCCCAGTCTGCCACCGTGTGACTGTACCGGTGTTTGTCTAGGAGCTCCTCCACTGGTGGACACCCGGGTTGTTTCCAGCTCTCTGCGACTGTAAATAACGCTGCAGTAAACAGGGTTGATGGTTGTGCGTAGATCTTGCTTCTTTGGAATGTGTCTACTTAGGGGCAGGATGACTGGACCAAACGGCATGTCTCTTCCCGGCTTTCTAAGATGCACAGCCGTAAAGATATCCAGCCTTGGAAGCTTGATGAGAAGTTGTCCTCCAGGGTCACTGTGAGTCACTGTTGATGATGCAGTGGCCGTGGGCTGGGAAGATGGGATGCTGGTGGTGCCCTGGTTAAATCATTCAGATGCTAATTAAAAGATGTCTGTTTGACCTTATCAGTCACACTCTGGGCCTGTAAAGACCTCACAACCTTGGATGCCTCTGCCCTCCAGAAATGACACAGTGGTGTTGAGTTTTGAGTCTTGTTCTTGGTTTTTTAATTTTTTTTTTTTTTTTTTTTTTTTTTGGTTAAGGGAAGAACATGGCTGGAGCAAACCGTCTGTACTTGGCTGGTAATTTAGAGCTTGGGTGGTTCCGACTCACCCAGCAGCAGCACAGAAGTAAGACCTGGCGATCCGCACAGCCAAGAAACCCAGGGCTCCTTCTGCTCTGCAGGGCACAGGGGCCCTCTGAGTCAGAGCCGGCTTGACAGCAGTGCGTTTCGGTTTTCCTGGATCAGGGAAGGCTTCCCTGAGGAGGTGACACTGACGTGGAGGAAATGAGGTTGAAGCCACATAGATATCAAGAACACCTGGAGCGAGAACGTTCCATGCCCCGGCAGCAGCCTGTGCAGAGGTCCTGGGGCTGGAGTGTGTCTGGGATGTCGAGGAGAAGCGGAGTAGGCCACGGAGTGGCTGGAGAGAAGAGGGCAGGAGGGAGAAGAGGGCGGTGTGTGTGTGTGAGAGAGAGAGAGAGACAGAGAGAGAGAGACAGACAGACAGACAGACCCAGGCCAGGAAGGGATGGAGTAGGAGTAAAGCCATCAGACTTTTGCTTTGCATGAGATGGGAGCCCTGGGAAGTTCTGGACAGAGTGGGGATGTGACCTGACTGGGAGCACTGATGGCCTCCTCTGGCCACTGGAGAAGGGGGGACAGGCGGGGTTGCTGGTGGTAAAGGCAGAGACAAGCTCGATCATCCAGGCAGGAGGTGACGGACTGACGGAGCAGAGGGAAAAGGGGGCTGATTCAGAGCCAGTCTAAGATGCAAAGAAAAGAGCAGACCCAAAGAGGACCCCACAGCCTTGGGGGAGCTCTGCTCTTGTGTTAGCCTGTCTCACACCCTTGCCATCTCCCCAAGTGGGGATGTGGTCTGTCCTGCTCAGGCGCTGTGTCCCCGGCGCTTGGCGCTCTCAGGCACCCCATCACTGTGCTCGCTCCCCACCTTGTTTCCCCATGCCCCTGTCTCTCTTGGTTTCTTCTTTCTTGGTCTCCTCACCACCAGCCAGCTCAGCACCCCTGACTCAGCACGCCTGACCACCCCTTTCCTGTCCCTTGCAGCTTCGAGGCAGCAGAGAATGGCCCCACGCCTTCGCCCGGCCGCAGCCCCCTGGACTCGCAGGCGAGCCCAGGCCTCGTGCTGCACGCTGGGGGGGCTTCCAGCCAGCGCCGCGAGTCCTTCCTCTACCGCTCGGACAGCGACTATGACATGTCGCCCAAGACCATGTCCCGGAACTCGTCGGTCACCAGCGAGGCGTGAGCACCCTGCCCTGCCCCTCACCTGTCTGTTCCCTTAGGCACCTCCCCAGCCACCTGGCCTAGCCAAGAGTGTGAGTGCCAACCACCATGCCCGACCCCCTAATACCTGTCTTTCCCAGGGTGGTGAGCTGACCCCAGATTCTGCTTCTGCCACCCATCCTGGGCTCACTTCGTAACACCTAACACACACTCCATCTGTGCTCCCGAAGGTCCCCCCCCCACAGGTGTCCACAGAGTAGAATGTAAGCCCCCTTCATATCTCCATACCCATAGGCTGTCCAGGCCCCACCTCCGTCTGTCAGCTCCAGCAAGGAGGCCATAACCCCCACTCTTGCCCGTCCCTGCCCACTGCCAGCTCAGTGTTTCCACTTTACCTGGGTCTCCTCTCTACTCTCAGCCCTCACAAGGCAGCCCCCCTTCTCATGACCACACTCAGGTGTTGTTGTTATGTGCCGTCGAGTTGCTTGTGACTCATAGCGACCCTATGTACAACAGCCCTCAACTCTGCTCTGTCCTGTGCCAATCGCACTGTCTCTGACGCTCCCATCCCGATTATCCCAGTCACTGAATCAATCCACCTCATAGAGGGCCTTCCCCTCCTGCGCTGTCCCTCCACCCTCCCAAGCATGATGTCCTTCTCCAAGGACCAGTCTCTCCTCACAACATGTCCAAAGTAAGTTAGACGGAGCCTCAGAATCCTTGCCTCCAAGGAGCCACCCGGTTTAACCCTTTCCAGGACGAATCTGTTTGTTTTCCTAGCAGTCCATGATATTCTCAATACTCTTCTCCAGCACTTCAGCTCAAAGGCATCACTTCTCCTTCTATCCTCCTTGGTCATTGTCCAACTCTCTGATGCATAACAAGTGATTGGGAAGACCATGGCCTGTATCAGACGCACCTTAGTCTCCAGAGAGACACCATTGCTCTTCAGTACTTTGGAGAGGTCCCTAACAGCAGACTTTCCCATGGCAATGCGCCTTTTAATTTCCTGGCTGCTGGTGCCAAGACTGTTGACTATGGAGCCAAGCAAAGTAAAGCTGTGTACAATCTCAATCTCTTCACCATCCATCCTGATGCTGCCAATTGGTCCAGTGGTGAGAATCTTTGTCTTCTTGACATTGAGCCTCAATACATATTGGGAGGCTGCAGTCCTTGACCCTCTGCAGCAGTTGCTTCAGAGCCTCTTCAGTTTCGGCAAGCAGGGTTGTGTCATCTGCATAATGCAGATTGTTGATAAATCGTCCATTTTAAAATGTTTATCCTTTCTCTCCTGTGGAGCTGCTGGTAGATTTGAACCGTGTGCCTTTGGGATTGCAGTGCACGTTCTTAACCGCTAGGCCACCAGAGCTCTCTGAACACACTCATACTTGCTCAGTTCCAGCCTCTCCCACGGGGTGGCATCTCCATGCCCTGAGGTGTCCACCTCAACCTGCAGCTCCCCTGCTGTCCTCCCAGGTACCCGTCTGCCCACTGTCCTCACCAGGTCCAGCTCCTGATGCCTGTCCAGCCCACCTTGTCTCTGTCTCATTCCCTCTCCATCTTCCCACTTCACCCCTCTCCCCACCCACTGTGCCCTTTAAGGTCAGCCCTGCACACCTGGGCAGTGTAAGTGCCCCCCCAGGGCTGCTTCTCTGACTCCCTGGGGCATCCTGCAGGTAATGGGTAACCCTAGCTTGTCTTTGCCCCCCTTGCAGGCACGCTGAAGACCTCATCGTTACGCCCTTTGCCCAGGTGAGACCCCACCCCAGATCTCCCCTATGCTTGGGAAAAATGACTAGTCCCAGCTGCCCCTCTGGCCAACACCTCACCTCACTGCCCTTTCCTGTCCCAGGTGCTGGCCAGTCTCCGGAGTGTTCGCAGCAACTTCTCACTCCTGACCAATGTGCCCATTCCCAGCAACAAGTAAGTCGAGGCTGGAGCCCAGCTGCTGTGATCTCGACGTCGGGGCCAACCCTCAGCCCTGCTGTGCGGCCTCAGACTCAGCTAGCCCTCACGCTCTTTGAGTCTCTAGTCAGGCTTCACCCTGAGCTGGTACACCGTTGTGGATCAAGAACCTGACACCTAGAAAGAAGCTCTTACAAAGAAAGAGCCAGAAACGGGGGTGCACTGAGGTCCTAGGTGGCAAGCCGCCTCAGTTCAGTCTGCCAGGCAGATGGCTTTGTGCAGCGTCCCTGTCCTCGCGGCGTAAGGGGAATCATAGGAAAAGCTCTGGCAGCATAGTCCATAGGGAACTGTGCACACCCAGAGGTCACACCTCTCTGGCGGTTCAAATCCACACTAGCAGCTCAGCAGGAGAAACATGGACCGTCTCCTTCATGCACCTTCCAGCCTCGGAAACCCAGCGGTAGGTGTGCTGCGAGTCAGCTCACACCTGAGGCAAAGAGTAGTAGCTCTGCCCTTAGAGAACAGATAGGAGCAGTCGAGGAAAGGATATGTAGAAAGAGCTAGAACGTTGCTAGCACCTATTTGGAGGCCGGAGGGTGGGTGGCGGGGTGGTTGAGAGCTGCTGGCCCCTCAGAGAGGAAGTGTGCGGTCAGTTCTCAGTAGGCTCAAGGAATAGAGGGCTGGAAGTCAAGAGAATGGACACTTTGGCCTCCCGGAACCTGGCACTGATCAGCCATGTGGCCTTGAAGAGACTTTATCACCTGCCTCAGTTTCCTCATCTGTAAAATGGGTTCCTGGGTGCAGTAGGAGTCGGCCAGTACAGTACATAGCAGCAGGCTTGGAACTCAGGAGTGCCGGGAAACTGGCACTGTTCCTGGACGTTTGGAGGGATGCCATGGGGGATGGGAGGCAAGGATGTGGGGGGCCTGGGCTGACACTAGGGCCCATTTCTCTACAGGCGGTCACCGCTGGGCGGCCCACCCCCCACCTGCAAGGCCACACTGTCAGGTAGCTGAACACAGAGCATTGCAAAGGGCCCCTACTGCTGCCCCAGTGGGGGAGGACCTCACTGCATGGCTGGCCCACCCTCTTCTCCAGCACCCCATGCACCTGGGGGTCCCCATCACCCCAGGTCCGGGCCTCTGAGGATCCCCGGTCCCAGCCTGACCACCCTTTCCACAGAGGAGACATGTCAGCAGTTGGCCCGGGAGACGCTGGAGGAGCTGGACTGGTGTCTGGAGCAGCTGGAGACCATGCAGACATACCGCTCAGTCAGCGAGATGGCCTCGCACAAGGTGAGCCAGGGGGCGGGGCCGGGGCGGGGCCAGACGCGGCAGGGGCGGGGCCAGAGGCGGCAGGGGCGGGGCCTCAGGACTGTCGGAACTACCACTCCTGCTGAGAGGTGGAAATGGACTCAGCTGCCCCTGCAGGGGTTTTTTAATGTTATAAGTTGCATGGGGAGATTACCCCTGCTTCTTTGACTGAGCCGCTGGTGGATTCGAACCTCCAGAGAGGCACAGCCTCTGGTCCACTAGCACAGCGCTCTCCAGACTAAGCCATTAGAAGTGCAGTCTCTGCAAACTTAGACTTCTTGCAGACCTAGGAGCCTGGATGTGTGTGTATGTGTGTGTGTGTGTGTGTGTGTGTGTACGTACGTGTGTACACACGTGCCTGCCCTGGAGTTTGTGTGTCTCCCCACAGTGACCATCTCTGCTGGGTGTTCTGTGCGCGTGGTGATGGTCGGCAGGTATGTATGGGTGACAGAGTGCGGGTGTCAGCCTGCTGGGCATGTGTTGGCAGTGCCTGGGGTGTGATCAGAGGGTCCAAGAGGTGGAGGAGGGATGGGTTTGCACAGTCAATCCTTCAGGGTCATCCTGGAAGTCCGGGTGTGTCCACAAGTGTCAGTCAGCCGGGTCAGATGTGAGTTGTGACTCTTGAGTGCGTTCTCGTGTCTGTGGCCGGATGCCCTTGCAGGACTTTCCGAGTACAGCTGTGCAGGATGTGCACTGCACAGCTCGAGGGGGCACCACTCAGAGAGCAGATGGGGTGAGCAAGACTTCCCGGGGCTGCGCTACGTGGTGGCAGCCCTCGTGGGTGGATGCCTGTCGAGAGATGAGTGTGTCAGTGGGGTGTCTGTGCTGAGATGCGTATGTCTGCAGATGGAGGGGGTGTCGCTGTTGGGGGTGCTGTTTGTGGATGGAAGGAGGTGTCTGGGTGTCTTTGGGGACGTGCTCCTCTGCAGGTGGAGGTGTCTCTGGGGACCATGTGTCTGAGGATAAGTGCGCATGAGGGTGTGGCGGGGACCCTCTGGATGTGAGTCTGAGGGTGTGTGTTTGTGCATCTGTGTCGGTATTCCCAATGGACTTGTCAGAGTGTATGTGTGTGTGTGTGTGCGCGCGCGCGTGCAAGGAGTTTGGAAATGTGTGTGTGTAATCCTTGTTTGCTCTTAGCTCTATCCACGTGTGTCTGCTGTGGGTGTGTATCTTGGAGGGTGTGTCAGAAGGTGGCTGTGTCTCTGTGGGTGTGATGGTGTTATCTTTACAGCCATCAGGCATTATTGTCCTTTGTGACTGTAGCTCCAGGCGTGTGTTAAGTGGAGGGCTGACAGCCTTTGGGGGGGTGCGAGAACATGTCAGGCATCGAGGTGCATCTATGTGGGTCAGTGGAAGATCTCTCAGGGTGTTGTGTGTGAGCATGGAGTGTGTGTGTGTGTGTCTCTGGGGTGTCCACAGAGGGGGACATGTCAGTGCCTTCCTGCCCATCCCCCAGCCGTCCTGCCCAGCTCCCGGCCACAGCCGTGGGCTCTGATGCCCCTTTAACGCCCCCCCCAGCACCACCTGACATCCATGCAGCCTGCCAGTGCTGCAGTGAACGCGAGCGCGCACACACACATACAGGCGCACACACAGGGCCTCAGGCCTCGCAGCCTCCCTCCCGGGACCTCCACCCTGCTCCCCATGGGCAGGGAGCCCCCGGCCGCCTCCAGCTGCTGCCGAGGGGGGGCCGACCAGGGCCAGGGGCTGGCAGACCATGTAACCAGGGCTGCCTCCGGGAGCGCGGAGGGGAAGGGAGCCCCCAGCCCTGCTGGGCCGGCCCAGGCCCCTCCGCGGCTCCCCTTCCACTGCCCACCTGCCCAGCACCCCTCCCCTAGCTGTTAACCCCAGGACTCCTCAAGCCCAGCTTCTGCGTGCAGCGGCCCGAGCGGGGCTAAGGCTCCAAGATGCCCTTGGTAGATTTTTTCTGCGAGACCTGCTCCAAGCCATGGCTGGTGGGCTGGTGGGACCAGGTAGGGGGAACACAGCTGGGGGTGGGGGTGGGATGGTGGGCAGGAAACCCCTCCCAGGCCCTCACGGCCCCATCTGGGCTTGTGTGTGCAGCTATGCACGTGTGTGGCCTGGGGATGGGGGTCTGTGTGTGGTCCTGGGCTGGGCATGGATGGTGGTGGCGAATGACTGGGGTGTGTGGCTCCCCAAGGGTGTGGGTGTCTTGCTGGGTGTGCCCCTGTCTGCAGTGGTATGTCCCCTGACGGCCTGGTGCCTGGCCTGGGTCTGGAGTGCCCAGGGCCCCGAGATCATGTGGCTGTCACTGTGCAGTGTGTTGGGCCATGTTTGGGAGCCCACAGCTGCGTGATGTTTCTGGGGCATGTGACCCCAGGTGTCAGTGGTGGCCTTTATGTGTGCATTTTAGGGTGTGTGGGGCTGTGTAGGGTTGTGTTAAACAGGATCTGAGGCTGTGTGCAGGGGTGGGTGTGTGTCTGTCTATCTGTCTTGTCTGCCCGCCTGGGGGGTCTCTGGACAGTGCTAGGAGCAGTGAGCACCCCATCATGGTGTGTGGTACACAGGCTGCTGAGCACCCTTGTTGCCTCCCTGAGCTCTCAGCTTCTGCTTTGGGGGTGCGTCGCCAGAGCTGGGGGGTGGGGAGCCGATGCCCTTTCTCCTTTCTGCACAATGTCACAGCAGAGGCTGGTGTGAAGTGGCATTGGGAGGGGGTCAGGAGTGGTCCCCAGGCCCAGTCTTGGTTATACCCCACTTGCCTGTGCATCAGTCTACCTCCCTGACATTGGGGGGGCTATGGTGGGACCCCCGCCCCTAGTCTGGGATTTCCTCAACTCACTATCTGTGTCCCAGCCAAAGCTCCTCTCACCAGAGCTTGGTAAGAGCGTTTCCCTCCAAAATGGGCTGAGAGCCAGAACCCCCAGGGATTGGGGGTCCATGTCTGGGAAGACCTGGGTCGGGGTAGCTCTGGGAAGGCAAGGGTTAAGAGGCCTTTGGCCTGCCCTCCTTCCCCCCAACTCAGCAGCTGGTTGGAGGGGGAGTTGCTAAGGAGACTCCCATCACCATGGTGACGAGAGTCTCCGGATACCCCATTGGCTCCCCGTTACACAGGCGCCCCTCCTCTCCACAGGTGCCCCTCTGGCTCCTCCTTGCCAAGGGAGCCCCTCTTTTTTTCAGGCAGGGCGGGGAGATGCTGGATTCCCAACTCCCCAAGCCTGGGAACCCCCACCCAAAGCAGGGGAGAAAAGGAGAGGCTTTCCCGTCCCCTCCGACAGTTTGGCCGGGAAAGAGGGGACTCATTAAGTCTTGAGGAGAATCCTGAGAGGGCTGACACTGCCCCTCAGATCTGACTTTTCCGGCACCCGTTCTTTCTTTTATCTTTCACTTCACTTTAGTTCAAGAGGATGTTAAACCGTGAGCTCACACACCTGTCAGAGATGAGCAGGTCTGGCAACCAGGTCTCTGAGTACATCTCTACGACGTTCCTGGGTGAGTGACAGAGTGACAGGCAGCCTGGGGTGAGGGGCAGCCCTGAGCTGGAGAGGACTGCCCCGCAGTGTGGACCCCCCTGCCTACATTTCCTCACAACTCCCCAAAGGTCAGAGTCGCCAAGTGCGAGAGCTCCCATATTCATGATGCCTCCAAACTCCAAGACCCCAACTTTTCTAGAACCCCCTACATTTAAATAAGAAGTGTACAGAATGTGGAGCTCCTAGCTGAAAGGCACCAGCTGCTCTGTGGAAGAAAGATGGGCCATTCCCATAACAGTGACAGCCTCAGAAACGTATGGAGGGGTCAAGATGAGTCACAGTCCTCTCTGGGGGGGGGGGGCACGTTTAAAATCTCGCCGAGCTGAGGAAAACTCCTGAAGCCCCAGGGAAACCCTGAACTCAGTGAAACTGTTTATGACCCTAAACTATTGGAGTTTCTGTTGGAGAATTCCCAAACTGAAGAGATCCCAAACTCAGGAGAACCCAGCATTTCATCAAGTCTACTTGGCTTGCCCCCACCAAATTCAGTAGACTTTCAAATTCAAAAGAGATGCCCCAAACTCTATATGGCTCTCAAGCCTTAGAGAGCAAGAGCCCTCTGGAACATTAAAAAGTCCTCCAAGCTGAACCCGAGTCGGCTGTCACGTCGATTCCAACTCACAGGGTCACAGTTAGAGCAGAACTGGCCCGTGGGATCTCCAGGGCTTTGATCTGTACAAAACCAGGGGGTCACTGCTTTTCTCCCACTTGGCTGATGCTTCAAAATGTTGATCTTTTGGTTGGGAGCCACTCGAATGCTTGACCACGGTGCCACCAGGGATCCACTCTCCAACCTGGAAGGCCTCCCTGCAGTGTTACTGTTGTTGTTGTTGTTAGATGCAGTCAGATCAGTGACGCCTAATAGCAACTCTGTGAACAACAGATCCGAACCCTGCCCTCTCCTGCGCCATCCCTGAAACCTCTGAGATAGCAGCCCCATTGTGAGAGTCACTGTGTCCATCCTGAGAGACCCTGTGCTGAGAGAGGGGGAATGTCAGAGGAGAGGAAGACCCAAATGCAAGAGTCCCAAGTTTGGATTGACACCCAAAATTCAGAGGACCTTAAATTTTAGATAACCAAACTCAGGAACATTTCCAATTTCAGTTGAACCCCCAAATATCAGATTCTCCCCGAGATTTGAATAGGAACTCCTGAGTTCAAGGGCACCTCAAAGTCATTCCAGCTCTGTACCCAAGAGCACTTAAGCTGAGGGTCTGCCCTAACCTCAGAATAATCTACCCTTTATGACCGAGTTTATCCTCTAAAAACCAAAGCACTGCCAGCACATCCGTCAGCTCGTATTAACCCTGAAGGACAAAGTGGACCTTCCCCAAGGGTTTTCCTTTCTAGAAGCTGACTGGCCGCCACAGCTTCCTAACATCAAGGACTGGGTGGTGGGTTCAAACTGCTGACCTTTTGGGTTGCAGGCGAGCCCTTAACCACTGAGCCACCCTGAGTGGGTTCCTTCCGTCGGGTTTCTGAGGCTGTAAATCCCAAGGAGATGGCCTCCTCTTTCTCCCTTGAAGATGCTGGTAGATTTGAACCCCTGACCTTTCGCTGTGTAACATGTTAAGAGCTAGACCACCAGAGCGGGTATAGCATTCTTTATCAGCAGAACCACACTGAACCCCTTGCGTTGGTTCAGATGTGTGGTGAGCCTCACTGGGTTTCTGAGCCTATAAACCTCTCTGGAAAGAAACAGCCCATCTTTCTCCTGTGAAGTAGCTAGTGGATTTGAACCGGCAACTTCTCTGTTAGCAGCCTGGCATGTTAGGGATTATACCACCAGGGCTCTGAAGCCCCTAATTCAAGAAGACACTCCCTATTTCAAAGAGAATGGTTTACGGTTTCCAGGTTCCCAGCCCCAGGGGAATGTGGTGTGCCCAAAATTCTAAAGATCCAGCCAATGACAGCATGGCATGCAAATGAGCTCCGTTAGCCACTGCTACCAGTTAGCAGTCCCAGGTCACAATAGGTGGCCCTGTCTGGTCTTTAGAAGCCCAAGAAAGCTCAGGAAAGGTGCTTCTGGGGCTGGTCCCCAAGCCAGCCGTGGTGTCTGGGTGGTGGGGGCCCATGGAGCCAGACACCACCCCGCCCTTCTCCCTCCTCCCAGCGCTGCCGCCCCACACCAGCAAGCTGAACCCTTCTGGGGGATCTCTGGCCATCAAGGACAAACAGAGGCAGCCCCCAGTACCTTCACCCTGCTCCCTGACTACTCACATCCCCTCCCTCCCAAGAGCAGGGCCTCTCCACAGCCCAGGGCCAGCCCCAGGGCCCCTAGCCCAGCCCACCACATCCCGGAAGAGTCCCTATCATGTGCACAGCTTCCAGGCTCTGAGCGGACAGCGGCGTGCTGCCCAGAATGGGGCGCTTCTCCCCGGTGAGGTCTTGGGAGCGGTGGGGCTGAGCACCAGAGGAGAAGCCCTCACTCGAGGCTTGTGTTCACCCCACCCCAATCTCTGTCCCCACAGACAAACAGAACGAAGTAGAGATCCCATCACCCACGATGAAGGAGCGGGACCAGCCTGCGACGCCCTGGCAGCGGCGGCCCCCCCAGCAGCCACCACCCCCTGTACCCCACTTGCAGCCCATGTCTCAGATCACGGGTGTCAAAAAACTGACGCATGGCAGCAGCCTTGACAACGCCAGCATCCCCCGTTTTGGGGTGAAGACTGATCAAGAGGAGCTCTTGGCCCAAGTGGGTGGGGGTGCCAGGGAGCGGGGGTGGGGGTGCAGCACTGGGCTGGGGAGGAGGAGTCACGGTTTCTTGGAAGGATGGGGGTTCCCTGCGCTGAGGATAGGCTAGCTGCTTAATTAGGAAGAGAGAGAGGAATGGTGGGAGCTGGTTACAAAGGAGGGGAACAAGGAGGTGGGCTCAGCTTGACCCTGACCTCAGCCTGGCCCAACAGAGCGCTTCCACCGAGTCAGACAGTGGCTGGGAGATGCCCGAACTCAGGAAGTTCTCAAAAGCCTTCCAGAACATTAAAAAGCTGAACCTCAAAGAAGCCCCTAACCTGTTGCTGTCAAGTCCATCTCTCTTCTACTTCCTTGGGGTAGATGGTATCACCTCCACCTAGCTTGTGTTGGGGCAGGGGTAGCTGTAGACCTTAGCGCCCACCTCTCCCAGTGGCTGGGGGTGAAGGAGATCTGGACAGAACTCCCCCCACCACCAGCAGCCACTACAAGTCAGACTTGCCTTCAACTCCGGGTTCTGCTGGGAGATTCTGTGTTGAAGCATCATTTGTAAAATGAGCCCAGCGAGCCCTTCCTGAGTTGGGGCATCTCCTAGCCACTGTCTGGCTCGGCTCACCCAGCCAAAATACTGCAGCCCTTTGGCAGCCTGGTACTGGCGAGTCCTGTAGTCGGTTAACCATGTTTATTGAGCACCTCCTATGTGCCAGGGAAGGAGCCCTAGTGACTGCAAGCTGAAAGGTTGGAGGTTTGAATCCATTGAGTGGTTCTGTGGGCGTAAGACCTGGCCATCTGCTTCTTTAAAGATTGTTTTTGTTGTGTGCCATCAAGTCGGAACCAACGCATATGCCTACCGTCTCTAGTGGGTTTTCAGAGGCAAAAATCATACATGAGGAGAGCGCCTATCTTTCTCCCACAGAGCAGCTGATGGACTCGAGCCGTGTGCCTTTGGGATGGCACGGCACCTCCTTACAACCAGGGCCCCAGAGCCTACAAAACTCTACAAGGCAGTTTTGCTCATGCTTTGGCATCACTAGGAGTTGAGATCGATTTGATGACACCCAGCAACAGTAACCACTAGCAGTCCCTAGGTAGTGCTGACTCAAAGGTTAGTGGTTCAAGTCCACCCAGAGATCTACTTTGTGGAAAAATCAGCCTTGGAAAATTCTATGGCGGACACTTCTCCCCTCGCCACATGGAGTTGTTCAGGAGTTGGAATCAGCTTGGGAATCTGGGAAGACTTAGAAGATAGAACCCTGTTACTTTCTTCCGCGCTGTGCCAGGAGATCTTGGGTAAAGTCACTTCACGTCAGTGACCCTTCATCGCTTCACGTGCCAAATGAGCTCACATGCTCACTGCAGTGCTGGCTGGGTTATATCACTCAGTAGACAGCAGCTGGGGTCACTGTGGTCTTGGCCAGCCTGGAAAGGCACCACTGGTGTGTTTGGTGCTACTGGGCCAGCGTCAAGAGCTCCGTGCCCTCAGAAAGGATCTAGAAGGCCAGCTGTCCTCCTCCAGGGCTCGGAGGCTCCTGACCTCTGTGGTCTGTCCCCTCCAGGAACTCGAGAACCTGAACAAGTGGGGCCTGAACATCTTCTGCGTGTCGGACTACGCGGGAGGCCGCTCCCTCAGCTGTATCATGTACACGATATTTCAGGTGGGGGCTCCGGGAGGGGAGAGAGCCCGGCCTGGAGGGGGTTAGGGCCAGCGGCTGAGGGCCAGCGGGCTCACCGCCCTGCCTTTGTCCACAGGAGCGGGACCTGCTGAAGAAGTTCCGCATCCCGGTGGACACCATGGTGACGTACATGCTGACGCTGGAAGACCACTACCACGCGGATGTGGCTTACCACAACAGCCTGCACGCCGCTGATGTCCTGCAGTCCACCCACGTGCTTCTGGCTACACCCGCCCTGGACGTGAGCAGCCTGCCCGGCCCCTCCCAGCCCCACCCTGCCTCCTGTGTCTCCCAGCCCCTCTCTCTCCCCAGTCTGATGCTTTTTATCTTTCTGATCTCATGACTGTCTGACTTGGCCCACCATCTCCCTGACACCCTCCTTCTTCCTTGACCCCCATCTCGCTGACCTCTCTTTAACTCTGTGTCTCTTGACCCCTTTCTCTTTTTTTTTCTTTCTAATTTGTTTATATTATTAATTTTAATAAATTGGATTTCCATTCATTCATTGTTGTACTTTTCTCCCTGCCCACCCTTCCCCACCCCTCCCAGTATACTCTTTGAAAAGTAAAAGAAAAATTCTTTCATTGTTTTACAGTCCCTCCCCTCAGGTCCACTCCACTGTGCAGCCTTTGTTCTGGACTCCTGTCATGACAAAAATACCTAATCACATATCCCTTTTAAACAGTTTTCTCCCTCATCTGATTCAATGCAGTTTACATTATTGAACCCATCTTTCTCAGTCTCCCCCCAACCCCAATGTCAGTCCTGTTTTACAACAATGGCACTATGCAGTATTTGTCCTTTTGTGGCTGAGATATTTCACTCAGCATAATGTCCTCCAGGGTCACCCATTTTGAACACTATTTCGAGTTCCTTGTTTTTCAATGCAGCTTAGTATTCCATTGTGTGAATATACCACAGCTTCTCCATCCTGCCACCCAAGCAGATACTATGCACACCCATGTTTATCGCGGCTTTGTTCACAATAGCAAGGAGCTGGAAACGACCCCTTCCTCTTCCATGGACCCATCTCTCTGTCCCTCATCGCTGACCTTTCTCACCGCCCCCAGGCTGTGTTCACGGACCTGGAGATCCTCGCCGCCCTCTTCGCGGCCGCCATCCACGACGTGGACCACCCAGGGGTCTCCAACCAGTTCCTCATCAACACCAGTGAGTGGCCCTCGCGGGGGGCGGAGCTGGCGGGGCTGCGGGGCCGGCCTGCCGGTGGGCCCGCCCCTGACCGCGGGCCTGGGCCGCAGATTCGGAGCTGGCGCTCATGTACAACGACGAGTCGGTGCTCGAGAACCACCACCTGGCCGTGGGCTTCAAGCTGCTGCAGGACGACAACTGCGACATCTTCCAGAACCTCACCAAGCGCCAGCGGCAGAGTCTGCGCAAGATGGTCATCGACATGGTGGGCGTGGCCTGCGGGAGGGGTGTGGGCATGGGGGGCGGGGCAAATATGTTACCTTGCCCCTCGCGGTGCCTGATTGGCTAGAGCAGTGGCTTACCACGCCCCCCGGGTAGGGCATGGTGGGGAGGCAGCCGTTAGGGGCGGTGGCTTCTGCACGGGGGCGGGTCCGGAAGCCCCCGTGACCCCGCCCCTTTGCCCCCAGGTGCTGGCAACCGATATGTCCAAGCACATGACCCTCCTGGCTGACTTGAAAACGATGGTGGAGACCAAGAAAGTGACCAGCTCGGGGGTCCTCCTTCTGGACAACTACTCCGACCGAATTCAGGTGGAGCCCCTCCCTCCTTGATAAGAGGACTAGACCCTCTTTGCCTCCCTTTGACCTGTTAGCTGTGCTGGCCAGTCCTCAGTCTATCCTGGTTCTCCATCTCCTCTCTTTATCTCTGCTCCCCTTCTCCTCCCATAATCCCTCATTTCTGGTCATCTCCTCCAGTTTCCCCCTTCCACCCATCCCTTTGCCCCCACTCCCCCTCGTCTCCCCACTCCCTCTCTTTACGGGGACACAGCCTCTGAAGCCCCCTGACCCCCAATCCCGCAGGTCCTCCGGAACATGGTGCACTGCGCCGACCTCAGCAACCCCACCAAGCCGCTGGAGCTGTACCGCCAGTGGACTGACCGCATCATGGCCGAGTTCTTCCAGCAGGGGGACTGGGAGCGGGAGCGGGGCATGGAGATCAGCCCCATGTGCGACAAGCACACGGCCTCCGTGGAGAAGTCTCAGGTACTGTCCTGGCTTGGGTGGGAGGGGGGTCCACAGAATGACCCACCCAGCCCACAGTGCTGGGGCCTGGGCAGTGGTCCTTGTTCATCAAATCTCCACCAGGGAGCCAAGCCTGTAATCTCTTAACACAAGAGACTGTGACTGCAAGGTGTTTCTCCTTCAGTGTGACTGCAGGGTGTTTCTCCTTCAGTGTGACTGCAGGGTGTTTCTCCTTCAGTGCAGCTGGTGGATTAGAACCCCTGACGTTTTATTTAGTAGCCCAACTCTAGGCCAGCAGGGCTGCTTGCCTCTTTGCAGGGTCAGATTCTTCTCTCCCCTCCCCCTGCTTCTGTCTCCATGGAAAATGTACTCTGCTCGCCACAGAATGACCAAACTGAGCCTCGGAACTCAGGTTCACAGCTGGCTGTTGAATAGTTCTCGTTTGCAGCCTCATTAATGATACCGGCCCGAGTCTTGTTTTACAGACCTTGTGCTGTTTTCATTTCAGGGTCCCCGTAATGGGAATCCTCGTGGTGCAGTGGTGAAAGCACTTGGCTGCTAACCAGAAGGTCAGCAGTTCAAGCCCATCCACTGCTCTTGCAGGAGGAAGCCACCTCCACAAAGCTCGCAGGTTTGGGGCTCCTAGGGAGAAGTTTTGTTCTTTGCTTTCAGGTTGCTGTGAGTCAGAATCACCTCCAGTGGCAGTGGATTTGGGTCTCAGTACCGTAACCAACTACTGTTAGGTGCCGTTGGGTCACCAGTAATTCCTGGTACCCCCATCTGTGGTGAATGTGATTGAACCTTTATGAACGGTAAAGTTTTCGCTAGTTGATTTTGTAGAACCAGATTGCCAGGCCTTTCTTCCTACTTCATCTTAGTCCAACTCTGTGTACCAGAAAACAACCAAACTCAGCTGTCCTCAAGTTGATGCCCTTCGTAGTGATCCCACGTGTGTCCAGGTAGAACTCGGAGCCACTGGGTTTCTGGTGGTCGGTTTAGTGGAAGTAGGTCACCAGGGCTTTATTCTGAGGTGCTGCCACGTGGAATCAAAGCACCAGTCTTTCAGTCAGCTGAGTGGATTAAATGTTTACGCCACGCACGGGTGAAGGTGGTTCCTTATTGCCAGTGGATGGGAAAGTCTGCTGTTAGGGACCTCTCTAAATTACTCAAGAGCAACGGTGTCTCTCTGGAAACTAAGGTCTGCCTGATACAGGCCATGGTTTTTGCAATCACTTGTTATGCATCAGAGAGTTAGACAATGACTAGGGAGGATAGAAGGAGAATTGATGCCTTTGAGCTATGGTGCTGGAGAAAAGTATTGAATGTACCATGGACTGCCAAGAAAACAAACAGCTTCATCCTAGAGAGGGTTAAACCAGGCTACTCCTTGGGCAAGGATTCTGGGGCTTCGTCTGACATACTTTGGACATGTTGTAAGGAGAGACAGGTCTTTGGAGAGGGACATCATGCTGAGTAGAGTAGAGGGACAGCGCAGAAGGGAAAGACCCTCTATGAGGTGGATTGATTCAGTGACTGGGGTAATCGGGATGGGTGTGTCAGAGGCAATGCGATTGGCGCAGGACAGAACAGAGTTTAGGGCTGTTGTACATAGGGTCGCTATGAGTTGCAAACGACTTGACGGCACATAACAACAAGTGTTTTCTAGTAGATTTTGAAATGTGACTTGGCCTTGTATCAAGAAATACAGGAACATAATCTCATGGTGGGAGCCCTGGTGGCCTAGTGGTAAGAAGCTGCACCACATTCCCAAAGACACGCGGTTCGAATCCACCAGCTGCCCCACTGCCGACAGATGGACAAGCTCCTCCTGTGCTATTTAACACATTACCACACACTTTTAAATTGACAACCATGCTTGGAAATGTGTAGGACTGCTATAACTGTCATTTGCAGCAGCGTGTTAACTTACTGCCTCTGAAAACCTGCTGGCGGGTCGGCTATGAGTGGGTTCTGACCTGAAGGCTCACAACAGCAACTTCATTGTGGAAAGACTCAGCTCTAAAGTGCAAATGTTGCGCCTCGTAGTCTCTCCCCTGGTGAGAGCATCCTTCTCGCTTTGGTGCTTGTGCCCTCCCAGAGCCGATTTCCCAGCCTCCCCGTTGCTGGCTTCTGGAATTGACGTATCCTCTGTTGTGAGACCTGCCTGCGCAAGGCAGGTGAGGATTCAGCAACCCTGACCTCTACCCACTGGATGTCTAGAACTCCCTGCCCACCCCTGTCTAGTTCTCACAACCAAAATGATCTCCAAGCTTTGCCGTATGTCCCCCTTGTGGTTCGGTGCCGTTGAGCCGACTGTGACCCAGCCACCCTGTGAACTGCAGATCAGAACCTTGCCCCGTCCTGCTCCGGTGTCCTGATCTCCACCACACCTGAGCCTAGCAGTACAGTCACTGTGTCTGTCCATCTCATCATCTTATCGTTAAGTTCTGTAAAATCTGGCACGACTCACCGTACCATAGAACAAAACACCAGCCTTGCACCCGCCTGGAAATCACGGCTGTGGTTTTTTTTTATTTATTATTTTTGTGTGAGTGTACCGTCAAATCAGATCTGACTGGTACAGGAGGAGATTGTCCCTCCTTTTCCCGGCAGAGCATCTGGTGGATTCGAACCGTGCGCCTCTGGGATTGTAGTTGCAGCTCCTTGCTATTAGGCCACCAGAGCTCCCCACGGCTGTGTTTTTGAGCCCATTGTTGGACCTGCGGTGTCGATCCAGCTCTTGGGAGGGGGCTTCCTCTTTCTCTTCCTGTTTTTAGCTGACCCGCTTCACCACGTCTCGCCAGCCTCTGCCCTTCTGCCGGCACAGAGTTGCTGGTTCTGTAGGCAACCCGTGGCAGAGTCCGTATCCTTCGCCGACAGCGTGCTTCCCAAGCGTCACTCGTCTTGGCGTTAACCTTTGGGTGTCCTTATTCATTGTCCAGCTTTTGCATTCACGTGGTGCGGGTGGTGTTAAGTGCCGTTGAGTCGACTGTGACTCACAGTGACCTTGTGAACGGGAATCTGAACCCTGCCCTGTCTGAGACCATCCTCATCATCTCTGACACACTCAAGCCCACCGTTACAGTCCCTGTGTCAGTCTGCCTTGTTGAGGGTCTTCCCCTCCATCACGGACTTCGACCTTCCCGGTCATGATGTCCTTTTCTAAGGTCCTCTCCTAACAACATGCCCAAAGTATGTAGGAGTTTCACTCTCCTTGCCTTCAAGGAGCGCCCTGGCTGCGTTTTTCCCAGGACATACTTGTTTGTCTTTTTGGCAGTCCACTGTATACTCGGTACTTTCTCCAGCAGCACACCACAACTTAAAAGCATCATCTTCTGTCATCCTTATTCATTGTCCAGCTTCCAGATGGGTAGCAAGTAATTGAAAAGACCATGGTTTGGATCAGGTGCACCATAGTCATCAAACTGACATCTTTGCTCTTCAGCGCATGGAGAGGTCCCTGACAGCCGACCTTGCCAGTGCAACACGTCTTTTTTTATTTTTCTTTTTTT